CCCCCCCCCCCAACCCCCGCATGGTTGACGCTTGGGCTCAGCAGCGTCCTTGCTGGACCTCCCAGACACGGGTACCGTCCTGACAACCGGATACCTCCCCTGGGAGACAAAACTGCTCCTCCCCCGAAAAATCTTTCTTTTTGTGCATAAAACAAGACACAGTACACAAACGGCTTCCTGGGCTGTCTGCGGTAATAAAATGCGGTGGCAATGAATAAAGGCTGAAAAGCACTGGGCGGGCGGGTCTCCTCACCCCACCCCTCTCTGTAACAGGTGCACCAGGCATGACCCGATTCCTCCCCAGTCTCATGCCCTCGCCCAACGGACACCTGCACCGGGAAGTTGCTGGGTCTTACTACACAGACAGGAGGGCACGTGGGAATCTGTCCTGTGTGGCCCGCAGTCTGCTGTGCCCTCCCTCTGCCTACAGCACCCACAACAGGCCTCGAGGTGGACTCAGAGATACTATTAAATAGAAAAGCCTCCCATTTGTTTTAACACGAAAGGCTGCCCGCTGTGCAGAAAAGGGCGAGGGGGACCAGATGGCACAAGGAGGCCACTGAGGAGCAGTTCAGGAAGGAGAGGCGGGTGGCGGGGGGGTCACCAGGCAGAATTTCAGATCCACCTCGGACAGGCGTGGTCCCTCCCAGGGCTCTGAGCCGCGTGTGACTACAGAGCCACAGGCAGAAAAAAATGTGTTGCATTAAATAAAACTTATGGAGAATAGTTTCACCTGTTTTTAAAAAGGGGGGGGCGGTGCTAGGAAAGCGTGAAGGCCACGTGAGGCTCCACTACACTGCCCGCCATGGGCGGAGAATCTACCCTGCTCAGCGGTTTGGTGCAAGGGGGTGAGGAGGGGGAAGGGAAGTGCCGTGGTCTGAGTGTTGGCGTCTGCTCCCCAAAACCGCACGCTGAAACCTAGCGCCCAAGGCGACGGCATTAGGAGGTAGGACCTTAGAAGAGCTGGGGTCACGAGCGGGAGCACTGCTCCTCCCCGCCGCGTGAGGCCCGACGAGAAGTGTCTGACCTCGAAGAGCCCCCCCACCCCTCCAGCCACACCGACCTCGTGTCCGGAGCTGTGAGCAGTCAGAGCAGTCACTCTGTGGTTTGACCCGCCCAGCCTGTGATGCTTTGGCACGGAGGCCCAACGACTAAGACAGGAGGAGAGGTCAAGAGTGACCCCCGTGCCCTGTAGACGGAGACCACCTGCTCTCACGCTGGGAACACGAGTGTGCTTGGTCACTCGTGTCTAGCAGGGGCTGGCAGAACGCAGCAGACGGAACCGTGCCTCCCGGCCAACTCCCCGGAAACAGACGGGACACTCAGGCCCAGGGAGCCGAGGCGGGAGCGAGAGTCACCTTGGATCTTGACCCTGGTCTCGGGGTCACTCAGGGTCCAGACGTACACCATCATGTCCATGCCGCCGGACGCAAAGTGTTCGTTGTCTGGGGACCAGGCCAGGCAGACGATCTTTGCATGGTGTCCATAAAAGACGTTGTTCTCCTAGTCGCGGGGTGAGAACAGAAAGGTGGTAGTCAGGGTTCAGGCCAGAGTGGCATGTGTCACCTCGCCCGGCCCTCGCGGTGACAATGAGGGTCGACTTCAGAGGCGCTTTCTCTGCCAGGCACCGTGCACGTCTCACGGACGCCTCAGAAGAACCCGCGGTGCCCGCTGCTCCGTGAGAGGAGGAAACTGAGGCCCAGGAAGGAGCGCCCCAACATCAAGCAGCAGCCACTGCGTCCCCTGGGCCCCCTGCATCACAGCACTTATCCTGAAGCGCTAGATGTGTGCGCGGTCCACACTGAGCCCTTGGGCCAGCAAGGGGACAGGAACACCTGCCGAGAAACAGCCCCCCAGGCTCAAGGGGGTCCCGCTCCGTGCAGGCAGCACTCAGTGAAGTGAATGCTCAGGGCAGAGGGAGGCTGGCCTGCCTCTCCCCTCACACACCTGCTCTCTACCCTGGAGCCCAGGCTGGGGGCAGGGGCCCGGACAGAGGCTGTGAGCTGGACGAGGCCTAATGCTTCCTTTGATGCTTTAGGAATGCTTTTCCTTCAGAGCATTCCGTTTTCTTATTCCCTAGAAAGGGTCGACCTGATGGTGATTTTCTTTCCCAAGTGTGCCTGGTCCGTGCACTGCTGGTCCCGCTCCCGAGGACCGCTTACTTAGCAGGCGGTGAACCAGACCTGGGTGGTATACAGACGAAATCATTTACATAGAGTCTGAGGAACGTGGTAAGGGGGCCGAAGGAAATCTGGGAGGCGGGGTGTTATGTCCGTGGAGGTCCGGGTTCCAGGCGTGTGCCTGACTCTAGCATATACCTGCATTTGCTCACACCTGCCGTCAGAAGTGACGTTACGGGAAAGACATAAACTAAAAGGAGACTCCCCTCTAGTTAACGATACATAAGCCTAAGTATTTACGGGGAAACATACGGCTGTCTGTAGTTTACTTTAAAAGCACCCAAAATGAAGATGAAAATGACTGGATGGATGAGGGGACACAGTGAGACATTAATGGCAGAATCTAGATGGTAAATTCTTCAGCCTCTGCCATGTTCCAACCCATCCTAAGTGCGGGGGCTGGCACACTGAAGGGCCCAGGGACCCGGAACCCCCCAGCCAGTGCCCCCTGCTGTGGCCACAGACAGCAAGCGACAGAATCCCTAGCTGAGCTCAGTCCCGTCTGTGAACCAGGGCGAACAGCTCTGGGCCCGAGTTCTCCCCACGATGAATGCTCCTGCCCCTTGGCTGTGAAGTTCCTTGGCTGTCCTCCCAGGCCCAGGCACCTCTACCCTCGCCGAGCCGCTGCCCAGCTTCCTACCCACCGCCTCCCCCCTCCCCGCCCTGCCCCCACATGAACAGTGCTGGGATGATCAGTGTCCACCTTCCCAAGACTTTAAATGGCAGTGAGACTCCAGAGGAAAATCTAGTCTCAGCCCTTTGACCTTGGCAAAAAAGAAGGTCCCTGAGACCAGTAAGTCACTTAGCCAGGCAATCCGGGTGACCGATCGGTCTGTCTTCCCAGCACGCCTCGCCGGTGCCCGGGGCCCTTCCTGGCAACCGTTCTGCCTCGTTAACCAGCCACAAGCTCCTGGACGACAGGGTGTATCTCCCTGCCCTACGTCACTCAGCTCTGAGAGCACGGGTGCCACGTGGTTTTGGGCATCCATGGCTCCCCACTCGCCATCTGCACCGCCCGGCACGGGGACAGAGCCGCGCGACCCGCCCACTCACCGAGTAACCATCAGCGACGCTGAAGACCGTGACCACTTTGCTGGCGTCACACACGGCGAGGAAGGCGCCATCGTGGGAGTATGCCACATCGGTCACAGGGCCCTTGGCCTCCAGGAGCTTGCCCTCGTCCTTCAGCGTGGTGCCCAGGATGGAGTACAAGCGGACATTCCCATCCTGCAGGACAGAAGAGCGGCAGGTCACTTCCCGTTGTGTGCACACGAGTGCACACAGGCATGTACACATGCGCACCCGCGCACACACACACACACACACGCTCCTGACACCCTCCTAAAACCTCTCAGCAGTTCCCAGGGCTCGCTCAGCACATTGGGAAGAATTACTCGGGAAGGTAATTGAAATGCAGAATGCTAGGCACCCCCAATTCTGATTCTGTGTTTGGGTGCTCAGGATTCTGCCTTTTTTCATAAATGTTCCAGTAAGTTCTAACACAGGTGACCACAGGCCAAGCTCTGAGAATGACCTATACACGACAGCACTCCAGTGAGGGCCGTTGGTCTGGCTCTGTCCCCTCTGGCCACACTGCCTGTCCCCTGTGCTCTGTCTCTGCCCTGCTTCCTTCAGGTACCAACTCACTCCGACCAGGCCCCGCTCTGTCCAGCCTGCTGTTGCCTAGGATGTCCCTGTGGCTGCCCTGGGAGGCAGATGGAGGGCCAGCCCACCCCCTCGGGGCAGCCGAGCTGTCAGTGTGGCACAAACAATCTCAGGTCTCCTAGCTATGTCCACGACGCACTCCTCTCTGCCTCTAACATGGGAGGAACAGCCACGTCCAGACCCCGCAGGGTTCCTGAGCATGGGAGTCCTAGAGCTCACGCAACAAGCCCATCCGATGCCTAATGCAGCGGGGGTCTGGGCTCCACGTCTCGTGAGCACACTGCCCACGAGGAACACATTCCAACGAAGGAAAAGCCTATGTTCACAGATGGCACATGAAGCACATCCTGGGAGGCCCACACCGATGTCCACTACTGGGCCAAGTACGTGATGGGACAGCTACCTGCTGCAAGGTCATCAAAATAAACCAAGACGGCTAGTGTGTGTGAGACGTGGGGAAACTCGGTATAGACATACGTATGTCCTGTGCCATCATGGCGATTCATAGGCCAGGAGTGGTAGACAACCAGGAAAGATGGAAGCTGCCGAGGCCTCGGGGTACCAGCTGAGGGGACGACAAACTAGCCATCTTTCTTTTCAAGAGAAACAGTAAAGGTCTGATAAGCAGGGCACAGTGGTACGGCCTTGCAGGGGGAACACCAGGTTCAAACCCCACATCTGCCCTTGACCTCCTACCCCAGGACCATCCATGGCTGTGGGCTCCTCCCTAAAAAGGTGAAACCTGTTTCTCAGAACCTGCCAGAGGACAGCATCTGGAAAGGAATGGGGGACGGGCCTAGGAAAGACCACTGGGACTGCAGGTGCGCAGGCCGACGGGGACGGTGTCTGGGCCGGGTGGGAGCCCTGTGGGAACCGCTGGGGCTGTGGCCCAGTCCCGGCCTTGGGCTGCCTGGTGGGAGGAGATGCAGTGCGCCCTGTGGAGGGGCAGCCACACTCTCAGGGACACACGTGCTGCTGCACGGACAGGCAGCAAGGACAAGTGGAGTGGCCAGCGCGGAGCTGATGCACCCCACGAGCCAGGTGCAAGCCACGCCCTCAGGCCAGCCTCTCGACCCTCACGGCGGCTCCGTGAGGACGGCCGTGCGCCTCTCGGTGGGCAGCTGGTCCCCGGCCGGTCTCTGACACGGCAGGTGCTGCCTGACGCCCGCTTCCTTCCCTGGAGGCACGAAGGCCTGCCGGACCTCCTCCGCCAGGGGCCCCCCCAGGACCAGACGGGAAGAAGGGAACCGGTTTGCCTCGGCCTGGCGGGCAAAGCCCAGGCCCGAGGCTCTAGGTTTAGAGAGCGGGAGCGCCACACGGCGCACGACGGGGCCAGCACTGAAGGAAAACCCTGAACCTGGCGGGTCAGCGCTGCTTCCGAGGCGCTGAGCATCTTTTCGTCACGCTCCCTTCTGCAACCTGCAAGCCCAGCTCATCCACGCCGGTCCTCTCAACATGCCAAGTCACGTGTGCCCCAAGTACTCACGTGGTCGATGGCTCCTGCCGCGGGCCCTACGGCCCAGTACCGCCCCGCCCAAGCTCACTGCCTGGGGCCCCCACCACTCCCCTCCCGTCCTGCCGTCCTGCCGAGGTCAGCCCCGCACTCATACGGCTCGTGTCACCCCCAAACCACCCAGACAAGCCAGGGCAGAGGACGTGAGGGACGGGAGCCTTACCGCGCCCCCGACAGCCACCGTCTCGCCGCTGGGGTGCACCGCCACGACTTCGGGCTCGTAGCCAGGGTCGTCGATGCTGAAGCACTTCTTCTGATCTTTGAGCAGGACAATCTGAAAAGCACAGTCCACCAGTCAAGGTGCAGTGGCCAGGGTCAGATTGCTCGGCCCTGCTCTGAGCTCTGTCCCGAAGCTCGCTGGGGGCGGGGGCCCTGGGACCCTGGTTCCGTGCGCCCTCCCTTGCTAGCCGTTGGGGACAGTGACAGTTCCTAGTCACGGTATCACAATACCAGCTGCTGTCACCATCGCCACGTTACTGCCATTGCCACTACGAGCACCCACTCCTCGGGAAGCCATCTGCCATCTGAACTCCCTTCCTCTCGTTACACAGTAAACGAGCCTTGCCGAACAGTGTTCTCACGAGGTTCAAGAGACACAAACGTTTGGCTCTAAGGCAACACTGGGAATGAACGGGACACATGACGATTCTCAGTTCTGGTTTCCCAGGTCCAAAGAAACCAGCTCCGATCTGCAGCGTGTGAAACCTCCAACGTGTCAGACGGGCGTCCCCCGCGGCTGGGGAGATGGCGTTGGTACCCATCTTGCAGACAGAAAACCGGGCCCCAGGTGTGGGCGCCAGTGGGCAGAGAGCAGAGCCAGGCCCAGGTCCACGGAGGCTCTTTCCCCCCAACAGGCCTCCTCCAGAGCGCGCCTGGTCCCAGGGAGCGGGAAGGGCAGCGCGGGTGGCACACAGAGAGGTGGCTGGAGGCGCCCCACCGCGCCCCCTGGCAGCACATCCCTGCTTCCCTCGGACTCCGTCGGGGGCAGGACGGAGTCCTCAGGCAGGGCTGAGCGCCTGGGCGTCCCAGCCCCACTGAGGGGCTCCGCACACAGACCTACTCAGCCTCCCAGGCTAAAAGACGCTGGAGGTGCCTCAACATTATCAAATATAGTCCCCTCCAGAAGCGAAATAGCCTGAAGTTCACGCAGCGTTTGCCACAGCCTTGCCAATGGTGCTGCACGCGCTGTGGGCCCCTCCCCCACCCTGGAGAGGGCACCGTCACCCCACCCACCGTGCGGAGGAGAAACTGGGGTACACCCAGAGCCACAGGTCCAAGGCCTCACAACTCGCAAAACCAAGCTGTGGGGCGCCTGGGTGGCTCAGTCAGTTAAGCCACCATGATTTCGGCTCAGGTCATGATCTCGCAGTTCATGAGTTTGAGCCCCGTGTCGGGCTCTGTGCTGACAGCTCAGAGCCTGGAGGCTGCTTCGGCTTCTGGGTCTCCCTCTTTCTGCCCCTCCCCCACTCACATGCTCTTTCTCAAAAATAAACATTCAAAAAATTTTTTTAATAAAAAACAGGAAAAAAACCAAAATAAACCCAGAAAACAAACAACCAAGCTGGGACGCACATCCGGGCCCACAAGACCTCAGCGTCCCCGGCTAGCACAGCCTACCTCCTGCCATCTGGTGGGGACCCTCTGCTGCCCTGCACCCCCACTCGCTCCTTGCCTCCCCTCTTGCCACCAGCTCACTGGCCTGTTCCCAGACAGCATGGCCCTGATCAGGGACAGCTTTGTCTTCACCCCACCGCACCCCGGCCCGAGCTGCCAGCTGTCTCCCCCTCCACCCCTCCCCTCCAGTGGCTTCCGCTTCTGGTGTCCTATGGGGTGGGGGCCAGGGGAAGAGGAGCAGGTGGGTGGGTGCCGGTACCCTCACTGAGACATCAAAATGCACCTGAACAACCTGCCCCTGTCACCCGCCCAGCAGGTGCGGGCACTGGCTTTACCCGACAGGGGAGGCCTTAGGAGCATGAGCATCTGAGACGAGGCTGGACCCTGACTGTTTCCTGACCTAGAATCACAGCCCCCTTCTGGCATGTTCCGCTGACCCTACGGCCTGCACTGGGGAGTTCAAGAGAAGCTTCCTACCCGGAGCGGGGGAGGGGCAGGGCCAGGGCAGCAGCGGCATGGCACGGAACTCCGTGGCCCCCCTGACCCGCTTGCACTCGCCTCGCTGTGAGCCTTGGAGGAGGGCCTGTCAGGACGGCCCTCCGCAGGCCGGAAACTGCTGCCAGAGGCCCTGCCACAGAGCCCAGCCCCGCCCATCCTTCTGGAAGGCTGCCTCTCCGTGCCCCCTCCCCCGCCCCACAGGGCTCCACGCGGTTCACTCCAGCAGTTCTCCCACTGACCACCCAGGCTGCCTGGTAATCGCCCGGCTGAAGTTCCTGTTATCTGGGACGCGGAAGTCCGCTGGCGCGGCACGGGGAGGGGGGGGGGGGGGGGGGGGCGCAGCTACTCGGAGCCCTGCCTTCTCTAGCAGGGCTGTTGCTCCTGCCATCGGGGACTCGGTCACTCCTGCCCTCCCTGATCTACATGCCGGGACGCCCGGGTGTGCGGACCCCGCGCCGCCTGCTTCGGAGCAGGACGTGGTATGGAGCGGGTCAGGCTGGGGTCTCGGTCAAGAGACCAGAGATGCTGACATGCTGAAAGATCAGGTGTGTAGGTGGCCCGTCTTGAACAGGAACCCAGGCTGCACAGCTGGAATGGCCCAGGCGCCCCGGCCATCACGCAGCCTCGGGAAGAAAGCAGACTACTGTCTGCCTCGGCCTCGTTTACGAACGAACTTACACGGGCACGAGGGGCCGGACCCACACGTCCTCGAAATCCTCCCCGTGAGCTGTTGGGGAGGGAGGAGAAAAGCAGAGCCCAGAGAAGGCGAGGAACGGGCACGGAGTCACACAGCTCCAGGGCTCGGGGCTGGGAGGTGAACTCCTGTCGTGAGGAGGACGCCGCCCCTGCTGTGCCTCCAGCAGGCCGTGTGGGCCGATGGACACGGGGGGTGCTGTGGGAGGCCGGACCCCGGTGCCAGGCTGAGACCGGGTCGAGCAACGGCTCCCTGTTGACTCAGCCAACCCGGTGGTTCCCCCTCCCATTCCCCCACTTGCAAAGGCATACGAAAGCCTTGTCAAGGCTGAGAAATCTAATTCCTGAAGCCTGTGGTCTGTGGGTGTTGGCAGTAACGTTACCCACCTTTCTACCCCGGGTCAAAGAGAAACAAACACGGGAACTGTGTTTTGCTAGCAATCTATCAACAAGGTCTTGTTGTGACCCGTTTAGAAAGTTCACAAGGTACACAGAACTAAATGTTTTGGCTGGCAGTGATCATGTGAAACCTGTTTATTCTTAGAATGACCTGATCCATAACAGTCTTGATATAAAAGATTGTGTACGGCAACAATAAAGCCGTCACTTGGGCCATCAGCCCAGGGGACCCTCCTGTTCCCAAACTGGCTTCTCTTCTTCTTTTTTTTTCTTACGTTCCCCTACCCTCAGGACCCTGATCTCGGTGTTTGTTGCGCCGGTCACAACAGGGTGCCTGATGCCTGACAGCTGCCCAGGTACGAATCGCAGCTCCGCCCTCTGTCCGCCGCAGACCGTGGGCAAGCGGCTTACCCTCCTTGTGCCTCTGTTTCCTCATCTATAGAATGGGGATGATGCTGTCCTAGAGGACAGGACTGCTGAGGATCGACTGAGCGAACACACGTGCAGTGCTCGGTACAGACAGGTGTCAGAGCTCCTGTCAAACGGGAGAGCAGCACAGCTCAGACCTCAGACCTGGCGCTCCGCCGCTCCCTCCGGCCAGACCAACGCGGACCTACCTGCCCGATGCACACGACCACGGTGTAGCCTCCGGGGCCCACAGCCACGCACTTGGGTTGGACGTCCAGCTTCACAACCCCCTGCCCGCTGTTGGAGACGAGGGAAAACGCATTACACCCGCCTCACGGGGGCTCAGTGTGCGTGTTAAGCACACCACACACTCATTGCACACCCGAGCAACTCGGGGTAGGAAGTGGAAGCTCTACTCCGTCCGTGCCACAGGAGCCACAAGCGGAGACCTGGGACCACAGAGGAAGGACCCTTTCTGGGACAGAGACCAGAGATCACACAGGGGCTGGTGGCGGGCAAGAGGAAGTAAGGAAGGGGGCCCCTGACGAGCTGTTGGCCCTCGTCCCTGGCGTTCCCAGGGCACAGATCGAACTGAGCCCACCCCTCACACCAGCAGCCACACAGCCACTCTGCTCAGCACGGTGACCCTTCCGAAGAAGCTGGCACGTTCATGGGTGAAAATCCTGTTTGCTTTTGGCGGACGCCCTGAACCACGCCCTAGGGGAACTTGCACACACAGACCCCTGTGACCAGGCCAAATGTGGGGTCCACATGGCTCGGGGTCTCCCCCCGGTGAGGCTCAGGGCGCCGCACTGCGTGCAGCTCCTGGGAAGGCTTTCACGGGGGCCGTGCTGATGCAGGGTCACTACGGGGCCGCACGGAGGGCGGCTGGGGTCTGGACACCGGGTTCTGGGCCAGCTTCTGCCCTTCACCGTGAGGCTCGGCTGACTCCAGGCCCGGTCCTGCCAGGCGCGGGGGACACACCGCATCCAAGTGAGGGTCCCCAGCATGTCTCCAGGAGTCTGGAGGGACGGGGGTCCGCGCATGGAGCGCAGTGGGGAGGCAGGGGGCGGGGGGAGACAGGTGCCCCATCCGTGCTTCTACAAGCCAGACCTTGCTCTCCTTCTTCCCCACTGTGCACGGGAAGCTACAGGCTATTTGCTAACAGCCGCTATCCCAGCTCCGGGGCCGGCCAGTTCAAGACTCCAGAGCCAGACCAAACACCGCCTCTTACTCAGATCACCTGGGTGCCTGTCTGTCCTCTGGAGCCACCTGCCACGGGCCAGGGGCCTTCGAGGGCCTTGCTGGGCCTTCCCAACAGCCCGCAAGGCAGCCTCGCCTCCTCTGTTGCCTTCCTTCGCTGTTGAGGAACAGAATGAGGAAGGCGCTCGGGCTGAGATGTTCTGCCTACTTCCCAGGCAGAGTCTACACCTGGACTCTAACCCGGCCCGTGGCCGAAGGCCTGGGCCCGGGAGCCTTTGGGGACAGCGCTGAGAAGAGCCACGTGTCATCGGCAGCACTAAGCGCTGCAGGCAGAGGGCCTCCTGTTCCAGGGCGCGTGCTCTGGCCGCGGCCCCCTCACCTGTAGTCCCTCAGTGTGAGGTTGGTGTACCGCACCGTATCGTCCATGCTGCAGCTCACCAGCTGCCCAGACTCGTCCACGGTCATCCTGGACACCTGGTTTGTGTGGCCCTTGCCGGCGAAGGAGTCGTTCTCCCCTGTCTCTGAATCCCAGTAATGTGGGGCGGGGGGTTAAGGAAAGGCCACCTGCAGGACATGGTGCAGGCCCCACTGGGGAGGCCTGGCCATCCCTTGTTCGGGGCGGCATATTCGGGACAGGACCGTGGGCACGGGGCCCGAGGGGAAGCCCAGGGCGAGTTTACGTCTCAATTCCAGGACAGGCGTTCTGGTGTCTCAGCAAGCCCGCAGTGAGCGGGCCACTGAGGACACGCTGAGTTACAAACAGTGCAACCTGAGGCCACGGGAGCCGATCGTGGGACCGCACCAGTCCCCGCCAGCTGACGGTGTGCGCGGGTCACAGCCCCCCCGTGACGGGCTCCTGCAGCGAGGGGACGGGGCCCTGCCAGAGTGGAGGCTGGCCAGTAACCTGTCACCGGGATGGGACGCTGTGCGGCTGAGCCCATGCTGCAGCCTGCTTTCTGTGGCGAGCCATCCAGCCCGGGACTGTCGGCAGGAGACTGGTCCCTCCCCACGCAAGCCGATGGCCAGCTAGGACCACCACGTAACAGCCCGGGGCTGACCCACCTGGCAGGGCGGGTTTATAGACCGTGGGTTTGGGGTGTTCCGGTAGAAGGTGTGTTTTAAGCTATGGGACTTCTCTTTCATATGAACAATCGCAAATCTCACTTTAAACAAAGATCATCACCTCCATTAGAAAGCTATAGTTGTGTTCCACTGTTGACATGCTCTTGTGATGGAGACCCCAGCCCTCCATACCCGAGGGAACATTAGTACCTGGGAGCCTCGGGGGTTCATGTCGGCGTGCTCCCATGCCAGGGCAGACCTGGAAGGGGAGGGGGGCCACGCCAGGGCAGCTGAAGATGGCACGCTGCTCCAGGAGAGACAGATTCTAGAGCCTTCTCTGCCTCTGATTCTAATGCAGCTCCCACCGTATGCCAACCTCCTTACATTTGACAGGGTGTAGAGTGACCTATGTGCCCCCTCCCCTGGGGTGTGGGGAGACCTCCTTAGTCGGATCTCTCCTCTGAAAACCGCAGAGCCTTGGAGGGATGAGCCGGCTCTGCAGGGGTGAGGAAGGAGCACGCGGTTCCGGGACAGCCCCTTCCAGAAGCTAAGAAGCACGCAGACTAGGAAACAGTCCACACAGGGGCAGGCCTTTCACATGGCGCCAGCAGCTGGATGACCCGCCCGGGCCCCACCCAGCACCCTATGGACCGCAGTCCTGGGAGGAGGAGGGGCTACCGGCCCCAGGCCACAAACAGCTCGGCTGTGAGGGCGGCTGTGAGGGCGGCTTCAACGTGCCTCCAGAGAAAGTCTCCAGGGACCGGCAGGAACCTCACCAGAGGGAGAAACAGGCTCCAGTCCCTTGCTGCCCACAAGCAGTGTGAGTCTGCGGAAGGCCCTGGAGCGTTCTGAGCTTCGGTCTTCCATTTTTAAAACAAGGGGACCGTCCTGAAAGGTTCTAGCTTCTACTGAATTCTGAGACTCCTGACTTACTGCTTATGAGAGGGATCGGGCCGCTCGAGGGGCCCACGCGGAAGAGAGGCAGCTTGGTCCAGAGTTCCATCCAGAGCCACTCCCAGCCGCCCAGGAAAAAGTGACCCGCCAGGTCTGGGCTGCAGCCTTGTCCCCAGTGTGGACATGGCCCGTCTGAGCAGCCAGGGCTGGCTGCGCCCTGCTGCTGCCACCTGGCTGTCCTTGCCTCTGGCTCCGCGAGGACAGAAACCTCCCACATCTCCTGCCAGCGGCCCCACAGCCAGCTCTGTGAGTCAAAGGATATTAATGTGTCCATCGTGGCTCCCGGAGTAGATGTAGGACTTGCCTCCGTTTTTGTGCACCGTCAGACACTGGATTGACTTGCTGTGACCCTGTGGGGGACACGGACGGGGCAGGGTGAGCGCAGAGCACAGCGTCCTGCCGCTGCAACTTGCCAGCCACCCTCTACTGACTGACACGTGTCCTTGGGTGACAAAGAGGCGGAAGACCCTCGACACTGCCGCTGACGTCAGTGGCAACACCCAGCGGCTCCCCACGTGCCTGCAAACACCTCCCTGGAGCCCTGGTCGGCTTTATCCCCAGCTGACTGAGCAGGTGACAAAATCGTATCGTGCAGCCTCTTCCCTCCTAGTACCTCAGCTCAACCCGGGCCAAGGACAGGATCTAAGGGAGCCCAGGAGCCAAGAGCCTCGTCTCAGTAGCGCCCCCGAAAGGGGGAAATGCTGCTCACACCTGTGGAGCTGCAGCAGCTAACAGACGGGTCTCGGGAGGGTCTGGCGTTCAGAGGCGGGTGGAGAGGCATCCGGGCCACCCAGAAAGACCCAGGCAGTCCTGGGGTGCTGCTGACAGCCTGTTCTCTTCCCAAACCTGTAACTCACAAGCTGTTCGAGGGCTCTGACCACCCCCCCCCAACCTCCCTCCCTGGCAACGTGGCAGGCACAGGACTCTACAGCCGGACCTCTGCTGCAAAGGGGACACATAACCCCTCTGTAACTGCTAAGGGGGGTGGGGGGCCTGATCACTGATCCCCCTTCACCAGGGGTGGGAGGAGGGCCTTTGCCAGTAATGCTCTGCTGACGGTTGGCACAATTTTGCACAGGCCCTGACCCAGGAACTTCCAAGCTTTCTGTGGGGTTCCACTTGTTGCCACGATGCGGCAAGTGTCTTCAGAGGAACGGTGCACAGTTCTCAGGGGACATATTGGGCTACTCCCACCTCCTGTCTCCTTCTAGGACAGGGCCCTGCCAGCCCTGACACTTTAAGTGTGGTCCTCAGACCAGAGTCTGCCCCACTGGGCATCCACCTGTGTCCTGGGGACTCGGGACCTGCACTCGGTAAGATGCCCTGGGGCTCTGTGCACAATCCCTGCCTGGGGTCGCTGCCTCACCTGGGAACTTGTGAGAACCCCGGGCTCTCGCATGCCCCACAGGTGTCCACGGACGAACCGAACCCAGCTGCCGTGTTTTAACAAGCTGGCCCTCTCGGATGAGCCTGATGGACCTTCTCCCTTGAGAATCGGTGCTCCGGCTACACAGGAGAATCCCCTGGGTGTGTTTACAAGTACCAGCACCTAGGCCCATCCCTACGGGGATGACCCAGTCCCTCTGGGGCAAGCCAGGCACCAGCCCTTTTTAAATCTGAACATGCAACCAAGGCTGAGAACTGCTCTTCTGACTCCAGTCTTTTCCTGGGCTCCCACATGTGGCTTAGAAACCCCTGCAGCCCAGGATCGGCACCAGATACGTTGGGATTCACACACCTACACACTGGCAGGCACGGGGCCAGGAGTCTCTTCTGAGAACTGTAAAAGCCCACAAGATTCCCTGAGCTGGCCTGGGAGGACGGAAGCCTAACTTGTGGTCCCTGTGCTTCTGGTGGCCTACGGGAAACCGCGCTCCTGGGCACAGGTGGGCTGACGGCGATGCCTGAATGTCTCAAGCAATTTCTCCCCATCACATCTGGAGGCCCAGCAAAGTGACTGTGTCCTGGGGTGGGGCCCACCCCCAGCTCCCCCACGCTCAGTGTCAGGCCGGATACACCTTCGCGGCACGTCCATCACGCCAGGCTGGGGCCTAACTCAAGGAGGGGTCCCCACGCCTTGTCCTCAGGGCCAAGGTGGGTGAAGCTTCATGAGAGCAGATGGCACGAGGCCAGCAGTGAGGACAGATGTGGCCGTTGCAGTGGCTCAGTCCTCCCTCCACGCAGCATCCGCATCTGAATGGGACACAGTGGTTCCCACCCTGGACCATGCCTCCCTTGACTCCTGGGCAGAAGCAAGGCCTGCAGGGATAGCAGCAGAGCCCGCCCTGTCCTCAGGGAGCTCCTGGCTCTTGCCTGGCTGCTGATTTCCAGAGATAGCGAGATCACAAGGGCTGAGGCGGGAGAAGACGCACCCATCCCTGTCAAAGGAGGGGCACTGGGGGCAGACCCTGGGCATCACCTGGCCCAAGGAAGCCTGCAGGTGACAGGACGGGAGCCGGGGACAGGGTCCTACCACCTCCCGTGGCTTGCTGCTGCACAAACTCCCAGCTGGGCATTCAAGGCCTCTGTACCCTAAGGTCCACCTGCTTCTCCAAGCTCATTCCCTGCCACGGGCCTTCCCTGCTTGAACCACCCAAAACCCAAAGTCTCTCCTTCCCACGTTCAAATGCCACCTAAACTAAACGCCAAGGTCCAGCGCCAAGGCCTCCTGGTCCTCCTCGAGGCTCTCTGCGGGCCCTCTGTGTCTGTAGCGACGCCCTGGGGCTCCGTGTGTTACACCTGGAAGCTCCGAAGTGAGGGAGGCTGCCCCAGGGAGGCCAGAGGGGCTCCCGACCGCAGGGTGAGGGCCACCGTCCAACACCCCAGGCCCTGAGTCCTGGCGCTTCTAGAAACTCAAGGGGAGAGTCGACATCCGGACTCTCGCTTCTGCTGAACGCACGTCCCACTTGCCAAGCCCCCAGGGCCAGCCCCTAACTCAGCCTCACCTTGATGACCCGTAGGGGCTTGCTGGGGTTGTTTCTGTCCAGGTAATTGATGTACCCGGACAGGGAGACGCTGAGCAGGTGGTCCTTCTGCCACAAGCAGCCCAGCTGCTGGTCCAGGACGGTGGAGCCCATCGTAAACGTGCTGACGGCAGAGTTCACGTTGACGTCCCAAATCTTAGAGGTTTTGTCTCCGGAGGCAGAAAGCAAGTGGGTGCTGTCAGGACTCCAACTGATCTGTCAAACGGAACAGTGGGCCACGTGTCAGAGAACAGAGTGGGAAGGGGCCTCAGGAAGCAGCCTGTCCACAGCCCTCAGCCCGGGAGCGACCCGCTGGGACCACGACACCCTTTCCATGGGACCCTGAAGCCCACTACCGCCGCCCCTGCTTCCAACTCTTCACTGATGACGGCAAACACGGACGCCGCCCGACCACAGCCGCAGACAAATCTGTACTCACGGCGTAAATGCCTCCGTCGTGAGCCTTGTTTCCTCCCAGGGCACACACTTTCTCTCCCGTCTTTCCGTCATAGATGTAGATCTTTCGAGGAATAAACACACACACACACACACGGGTCACAGGTGTGAGGATGCTCTCGCCAGCTGTGCGTGAAACCAGCCCTTCCTGCCATGGCTCTACCGTCAAGAGTTTGCTACTGTGACTCCTAAAAAAAAGCAACCTAAAACGAGTGCTAACGGGATTTCCAGCTCTATTAAAAAGGAGAAAGGTAGGGCGCCTGTGTGGCTCAGTCAGTTGTGTACCTGACTCTTGATTTTGGCTCACGTCGTGATCTCAGGGTTGTGGGATTGAGCCCCACGTCAGGCTCTGTACTGAGTGCAGAATCTGCCTGGGATTCTCTCTCTCTCCCCCTCTGCCCTCACCCCGCTCACACTCTCTCCAAAAATAGAAAACAAAAGGAGAGGTGAAAAGGGGTCCACCAACCCAGTAACCCGAGCGCCTTCCAGGAGCGGGAGGGAGGGGGAGTTCTAGTTCCTCATGGGAAGACGGGCTTTGGAGGGTCTGCCTGCCCTGAACCGCTGGGAGGCCATGGATGAGCCCCCGCCCCTGCCCTCAGCCCTCACCTGGCCATCCGCGCTGGCTGTGGCAAACCTGTTCCCGTCAGGAGAGAATCGCACACAGTTGACGAAGCGGCTGTGGTCCTGTGGGAAAGTGTACAGTTATCCACCTGACGACGGGAGGTTCTGGAAAGTTCTTTATGAAATATGCAGTCTGCTTCACACATCCACTCTGGCTGCCGATGTGAACTGCCAGGCGACAGGACGACCTCAGGGCTTAAATAAACAAGTCTGAAGCAGCCCCTGACTCACTGGGAGGGCCAGGCCTCCCCATTCCCACACTCAGGGTGCATTCCTTCCCCTCTGACAGACACAACCCGCCCTCCTCCCTCAGGGGCCCAGCGAGAACTCCAGTCCAGAACCTGGAGGCCTCTTGGCTGAGTCTCCAGGGTGCAGCACCTTGGGTTGGAGCTAACAACCAGAAATTCAACGATGGTCATGTACTTCCTGGGAGTAAGACTCCAAGTGACCCTCCAGGGGTGAGTCCCTTTCCTAGAGGAACAACTCATTCTTTCCCAAATCAAGGGTTCGTATAAGAAAATATCCTCTAAACACCCCCTGCCCCTCCCCACCCTGGCAAGCACTATTAGCTCTCCCAAGGGTAGGAAGGGTTAACTGCTTCTGTGGGTATAAACAGCTAACCTTCAGGAAAAACCCCCACTCATCACCTGCCTCACAGTGCCCTCCAAAGCCAAGCACTGACTTAATCAGGAGCTGCGTGCGAGGGGTCCGCATGTGCGTCTGTTATGTTATGGGTTGAATTATGCCCCAAAGACACAAGCTGAATTGGTGCTATCTGAATGGAAACCTCACTTGGAAAGAGGGTCTTTCCAGAAGCAATCAAGACGAGGTCATTAGCACGGTCCTAATGCAATGACCCAGATGGGTGGGGGGGGAGGGGGGCAGAACAGAACAAGCCCAGATGGAGGCGGACTGGGGTTAGGCTCCCTTGAGCCAAAGAACCCCAGAGGTAACAGAATCGGGAAGGAGTCGGGGGGTGGGGGCACAAGCTGGGGACACCTGGATCTCAGGCTCAGGCTTCCAGAAACGAGAACAAATGCCTGGCGATCACGCCGCGGGTTGCCGAACTTCGTTAGGGCACGTGGAACGCGTCATCCGAGACGCTCCTGTGGTCACAACCCTTCACGGACACTGTGACCACTGTCCTCATGAAGAAACCCAGGCCAGGAAGGAGAAGTCGGGGCCGGGTTCCCGGGCAGTGGAGCCCCAGAGCCGGGATCAAAGGAATCCATGTGTCTGCAAAGTCCAGCTGGGAGGGGGAGGACGGGTTTCCCTGGTGGAGGCAGCCCTCGCTCCACAGCACCACATGACTGCGATCTGGCTCCAGGCCAGGCGTCAGGCCCCACGAGATGCGGTCCCCGTCCTGAGCTGGAGCCCAAAGCAGGCCCAGCATCTCCTATTCAGCACTTCCTCCCCTTCCCTCAGCTGTAGGCCAGAAGCAGCCGAAGCCGCATCTCACCGGGAGGGACCCCTGCAGGGGTGGGGAGGCCAGGTCACCCTCGAGGGACCAGCTGGGACAAGAAAGGAGAGACCAGCTGGGACAAGAAAGCCTGAGCACCGAGGGGGGCGATGCTAGTGGCTGGTTTACACAGCCTGCTTTCCTTCCTGCCTCCTTCCGGTGAGCACCGTCATGGGGCTGGGACTTGGCTCTGACCGAAGAGCTTGTCCTCTGGGGCACCATCACCAGTGCCCCTGACGGAGGCACGACGGGCTCATGGCTTCAGCCCGCACTTGGCTTTGGTTGTGCGACCGCTGGGAGGCGGTCCCTATTACGAACAGGCCACCCACCCACCTCCCGGGGCCCAGCTTCCACCGGGGTGACAGGGACCTGAGTTTGCTGTGTGTGCTCATCTGTGTTAAGGCTGGCCTTCCCTGCTCCCGGGTCTGTGCTCCGAGACCAGCAGCAGGAGCAGTCCAGCAACGTGAGCCACAGCGGAACCAAACTGCTCTCCAAACCAGGATCCTACGAGCCCTCCTGGCTGCTTCTGCCTCCACCATCATCACCGGTCACCCGCCACCTAACCACCGCGAGGGCTTCAGGGAGCCTCCAGGCACTTCCCAGGAGACAACAGGGCTGGGAGAGAACCCGGGGCTCCCATTTCTCCTCCAGAGCTCTGCACTTGACCGCACTGGCTCTGGGGCCTTCCGGCGGGGAGCCACCCAGGTGCTGTCCATCCAGCCGCGGCCGGCCCAGGGAAGCAGGGCCCCCCAGACTGGGATACCAAAAGCACGCACGACAAATGGAGCAGACCCTGGGCTAAACAGGTGGCTACAGTGGGGTGCTGATTCCCCTTTACTGGGCGTAAGGAATATACTATGAATTAGCTGGCCAGCCATCATTTAATTCCGCCTCGTAACAAACTTCAGTTTTGCCGGTTCCCTTAGAGAACAGGAACGTCCCCGTATCCCAACCCCAGCTGGCCTTAGTCAGGACGCCCTCCTGAAGGGCACCGGACACCCAAGCCCCGCACCTGCCCAGGTCCAGCCAACAGCTGGAGCGATCCCACTGTGCTGCCACGGCCTCTCCTCAGACCCTCTGCCCCATCTCTCTGGATCGGGTCTCTCAGAGCACTCAGCACCCCTGATGTTACAGGGGACACCACACAGGGTCTGTGGCCCTTCTCCCTGCTGGAACGCAGCATGCCCCTCCCCAGGCCCGGGAACAAGGCAGGTTGTGGGACAGCCCCGGCCGGTCTGGCGCAGGCCAGGCACGGCAGACAAGCTGAGGCCCATGCGCTGTGTGAACCCAAGGCCTCGGGCTTTAGAAACTCCTCCCTGTCAGCTTTTCCTGCAGCTTGAGCCAAGAGCCCAAATGAGCCAGAGACTGATGTCTGCTCCTGAAATAGCCCACTTAAAGGGAGACGGCAGTGAACAGCCCGTTAACCAAAAAAGTGAGGGCTAAAAATAGCCCGCTCCACAGGGAGGTGAGGCCTGAGTGCAAGAAGGACCGGGTCTGGGGAAACTTCACAGGGAGGGTTCAGACATCCTAAGGCTTCCTGCGGCTGCCTAACCCAGCCACCACCTACTGAGTGGGGGCTCCTGGCCCCTCCCCAACCCCCCAGAGGAGTCAAGGCACAGGCCATCCCCATCCCCTGATGTGGAAGGCCCTCAGGGTCCCGTCTAATCCTGTCCGCCCATCAGTCACGGCGAACACTCACTGGAGCTCTGGCGGGGACCCTGTCAGTGGATCCTCCCCGGAACGCCCCACTGTCATTATCTCCCCATCATCACCTGACCCCCCCACCACCCCCTCTCGACACTGAGAACACGGAGTCGTTGAAGCCATTAGGTAATAAGTAATGTACCTGAGCCCACGTCACTGATAGGGTCAGAGCACCACGGAGCTCCCTGGCCTGACTCCAGCTGGTCAGCTCAGATGTCCCCTCTGGGAGCCCTCCCTAGCTCCGCTGGCCTCAGCTGTCCCCTGAACATACGACTGCTACTGACACTCACAGCGACGTGCCCCAGGCCCACCTCCTTGTTCCCTGTCATGAGCTCGTGGAGGGAGGAACAGGCTCCAACGCTGGTGCCCTCCCCCTCCCCGAGCCCAGCCTCCACAGCCAGTGCTCTGAGAAGGGGTTTCTGCCTTGACCTGAAACATGGCGTCGCCTTGCTTCGGTCTGTGTCACCTCCACACCTGGCTCCCCCCCTCCCGCTCCGAAGTCTCCCGCATCCTTCGCCAAGTTCCTCGCCAGCCTCAGCCTGGCTGAGAAGCACCAAAGTGACCCCTGCGCTCTGCCTGCCTCTCCCGCCACCCTGGACAGACTGGTTCAGCTACCGCGGACTCCGGAGAAAGAGGACTAGAGGAGGCGACGGCAAGCTTCTCCGTGTGAGCCTGGCTGGGCCAGTCACCCTGCCGTCGGCCACGGCTTGTGCGGGAAGCCAGGAAGGAAATGGGGGAGGGGACGTGCCCTGCTGCCCCCCAGCACACCCGTCGCGAACGCACCCACGGCTCTCTGAAAAGCAAGACCAACGCACATGAGGGCGGAAAGGCTAGGCCTGACCAGGCAAGGCATCCTGTGGGCCCAGCCCAGGCCCCCAATACGCTTCGAAGGAGCCATATGGCTGCTTCGTGCCCTGTTGTGAGTCAGGAAACAGGAGAAACACCACCAGAAAATCCTGCATATCAGAGCTCCAATTTTACTTCACGGTCTGGAAAGGCAGCAGTTCTAATAATAGCGAAGACAGATTTGTAGCTCACGTCCCCTCCCGCTGTGTAGAGGGACGTGGGACGCCCCCGCCTGGAGCTGCCTGTGGAGGGGGAGACGCCACGGGCGGCAGGGGAGAGCCGCTCCCAGAGCGGCCGACCACACCACACCCGCACCTGGGAGGAGAGGTGACCAGGCGTCCCCCCGCCGCAGGGGCTCCCTCCGCTCTCACACACTCGGGCGGGAAGTTTCCACCTCCAGGTCGGCCGGCCGCAGCCTGCGGAAGCAGGCCCGGGGCACAGGAGTGCCGATTCAGCAATCATTGAGTTAGACAAACTACCCTAGCGACCACAACACCTGGAAGTGGGTCGGGATGTGGACGCAGTCTTCCGAAGGGCCTGCTCCAGAGGGGAGTCCACGGTCGGCCCAGGGCGGCCAACCTGCTCACCGGACGGAGGAGGAAGCGCGGGGCCAGAGACTCGCAGAGCACCCCAGCTGGCAGGTGCACGGGTGCGGCAGGCCAGCGGACGATGCTCAGCTGGGCCGGTTCTCACCCGTCCAGACGCATCCATTGCGGGGACGCACTTGGCGGGGAAGAAATGCCTGCGGTAGACGAGGAGTGGGCAAGGGCCCACCCGCCCCTTCTTTCTTAGCTCCTCAAAGGGAACCTCTACCTTTACCCACAGAACGTCAGGGCCAGGGGCGGAGACAGCGATGCCCAAAGCCTCTGTCCTACACCCGGCCTCCTATGGTCCTGGGGGTCCGGGGAGGCCCACGGCCTCTGAATATGGGTGGGCCCGGGCCTATTCAGGTGAAGGTTCCCCCACCCTGTGTTTCTACAGCCTCCTGGGCTCGCTGCGGTTTTAGGTGAAGGAACACTAACGCTGAACCCAGAGTCTGAGGGCTCAGCAGAGGGTGGCTGACGCTGATCCAGGACTCAAGCCTGGAGGAACCAGGAGTCTATACTCCCTCTGTACGACATGAGCGGCTGGTTTAAACCAATAAACGCGAGAACAAAAAAGGAAAGCAATTTGATTCCCCTCCCAGGCCAGCAGGATGGGCAGGTGGTCTGACCTGAGTATGGTCGCTCTGGTTTGTCTCAGAAACCCCTGCACTTCCCCTCGGGTATGAGCACCGTCGGCTTCTTATTTCAGTGCGTGCTGACACTGAGAGCACAACTTCCTCTTTCTCAGGGCAACTGGAACTCAGCTCCTCTGTGCTCCCGACGTGCCCACCCCTTATCCCATGGCCTTAAACGTGCTCGAGAGGAAGACGGCAAGAAGCTGGAGCCTGGACGGGTGGACAGCCAGCCATCCACTCCAGCTTTACTCCGGGGTTTTGAGACTCCAGGGCAGATACACGTGTACAAGTCAGACTCATCTACAAAGCTGTCAACACTTTACAAGGCATTTTGGGTGGGTGCCCGGGGGGGCAAGTGCTCTCCCCATCCTTTACTCTCTAGGCCAACTGAGCCTGTTAGAATCTTCTCCAACAGAAGCCCAAGGAACTCCTCGTGGACACGGAGACATTCACCAGCAGCTCAGGTGCGCCCACAGCTCGGCGGGGCGGGCGGAGGAGGGCCGTCACCATCGTCTCCTGAAGAGACCCAGAACACCAATCGCCCACCCGAGGGTCGCAGAGCCAGCCAGCTGCCACGCTGGGTTGCCACCCGGTGCCCCCCATTCCCGGCCCACAGCCCTTCTGACCTCTCCCAGGTCCTTACGCAGGACCCACGGGTGACAGGTTCCACAGGCAGACTGTGGGGACGAGCTGTGTGCCCTTTCTGGGCACAGGTGCCAGCCGGGCAAACGTCCGCACCTGACCCCCACCCCGGGCCAGGGTTTTGGGGCGAGAGCTGTGTTCTCAGATTAGAAAGGAAAACGGAATGAGGAAGGGCCTTCCGGCCAAGGCTCCAAGTGAGCACGTGGAGAAGGCTGGCAGTGGGGTGAAGTCACAGGCTCAAGCTGACTGGACTCAAAACCTGGCTCTGCTTACTTGCCACTGAGCTGCTCCCTGCCGGGTTTTCTCTCCATCTGCGAAGAGGAAACCATCCCTCCCGGGGCGGGGAAGGGAGCCCCACCAGCTCAGAGCCCAGATCACAGCCAAGTGAAATCAAACAGCGGGGGAGGCGGAGAGGGGTACCTGGGGGCAGGGACAGCTTCACTGAGACAAGCTAGGACGACCTCCTGTTGCCACAGAAACCTCCTGTCTCCGTCCTCCTTCCTCTCCTGGGTGCGAGGCAGGACGCTCAGTTATCTGACTCCATCTGACTCAGCACTCACTGCTCACCCTGTATCCCATGGTACGTCTGCCTGCACGTAGGAAGCACGGACCTCGAGCCACAGCCTTCAATAAAGCCGCCACCACCTACAAGCCAGGCAGCAGCCACAGGAGACAGCCACACGGACTGCTGCAAAGGGACCTCTGAGCTGCACACTCTGCAGGGCACAGAAAGCCTTGCTGTGCTTCCCACGCAGCCGGCCAGGCCCTGCTCAAGGGCCCCGGGGATGGATGGAAGCCTGTTTCACTACCAGCAGGAACCCCTGCAGAGCCCTTCAGTGTCCGACAGCAAATTCCGCCCACTGCCCCAGTGCTGCCCTGTGGGGGACCTGCTGAGGAAGTGTCATCATCCTTTCTAGCCACACCCTGCCCGCTATCTATGAATCACTGTGGTTAGTCACCGGAGTTAAGAGCAGGCCCCAGTGAGTCTCTTTAAGGGCATTCTCTCATTTAATCCTCCATGAGGTAGGGCAAGGAACCGCTCTGGACCCGCGGGCAGCTGTGCAGTAAAGTTCATGGTTAAAATGCTCTGGTATTGATGCCTCCAGACCCACCTTGCAGACGGGAAAAGGGAGGCTTAGGTTCAGACCCTCGTCGCAGTCAGGGAGCATGTGCAGGGCTAGGACATGCTCCGCTAAGGCATTCAGAGCATGAGTCTTTGAGAGTCGAAGCATCTAACTCTCTTCATCACATGTCACGTTCCAGCTGGGACCCTGCCCTCATCACCTCACCAGACGAGACAAATCCAGGTATCCCCGGAAGCTCGCCACCTCTATCGCTTGAGGGCTCAGCAGGTCTCGAGCCGGCACCACCAGAGCCAGGCCTGGGCCACCCCTTTCTGACAAGGCTCCTCCAGCCAGAACGCTCACCTGGCCACACGGCATCAGAGATGCACCCTCCCTGCAACCCCAAAAACATACACCTCCTCCGGGGCGAGCGCCTCCCTACTGGAAGCATCCAGGCGGGCCTGAGTGCAGGACTAGGCGGGCCGGGGGCTCGAGTGCTGCCCCACGCGCTTCACGTGTGAAGTTCCCCTGTAAACTCCACTTCCGTCCACGCGTCAACATGTCACGGCGTTAATGGCACGTGCCTGCGACCTGGCTGCCACAGCTGCAGGTCTAGACTGCTGGTTTCGCGTGCAAGCCACCCCCAGGGGAAAGTCCACTTACGCCGATTGTGAACTTGAACTTGAACGGTGGCCCCTCAAAGAACGCGGCACAGTTATCGTCACTGCCCGTTGCCAGCCGGTACGGTCTGCTCTGCTTGATGTCCACGCTGTTGATGACTTTGTTGTGTCCCGTGATCTCGCCCACGGAAGAGCCACTGTCCCACAGGAAGACGGCTCCAAACCTTGACCCAATGAGAGGAGTCACAGGAAAAAGTCAACCCTGGGGACAGTCAATGAGATGTGGGCAGCTGAGTGGCCAGTGCTCGGGGTGGGGGTGGGCAGTGCTCGTGGCCACACTTCACGCACGCTCGTTAAAGGAGTCAACGCTGAAGGCCTCCCATGGTTTCAGCTCTGCACAGTATTTGCTGGAGAATCCGAGAGCAAGTGCCTTCGGGAAGGGACTGGAATCCCTATTCGGTCTATATGGTCGAGGCCGACAGGCCTCCCATGTGGAATGTGCCTTAGAAACACCTGCCAGGGGAGTAGCCCTATGGCTTACCAGTTTCCTAACAGTTTTACTGGGCGGGACCAAGATATTTAGCAGCCGCCACCTCTGCTGGAAAGGCGAGGATGTCCTGCGCTCAGCTGGCATCTGATAAAAACGTACCGTGGGGGTTACTACGTGTGACTGAATGAAAACGGAATTGCTGAGACCAACAGGATGACTGGGAAAGCTATGGCAGAATTAATACCTGTCAGAACACGCAGTAAAAATAGCCTCTGAGTAGGGAGATGTGTGCCTGCCAAATTCCAAGTGCTTGACGGCGGCCGTGGTGCCCTGGGGGGAACCCTGACCTCGCTCGGAGTCGGAAACCTGAGTCGCGGTACTGACCCCACCGGTCACTAGAGCCGTGAGCGCGGCGGCCACTGCGGGCCACCTGCCCCCTCTTCCTTCGTTAAGTGACCATCTCAGGTGGGGTGCACAGCTCCCTGCAGCCAGGTGTGGCCGTGGCATGCTGGGAGGGACCCCAGTAACGCTCCTGAGAGCTGTAACTCTTTCACCTTCTCGTTTCCTGCAGCCTGGACTGTGGGCATGACGGCTGGAGCTCCAGGAGGTGAGGGGCCACGGATGTCAGAGACAGAGGGAAGGTACCAGGGCCCCGGGGGGACTCCACACGAGTCCAAGCTGGCACAGGTGTCACTGCTCCCCTCCCACCGGGGGCACCCGGAAAGAAAGCAAAGCCAAGGGACACGGGCAGGGAGGGCCGAGGCCAGAGACTCACTTCTCCCTTCCTTCCCCGACCACTGCGATCCTCTTACTGTCTTCCGTCCAAGCAATGTCCTTGATCTTTCCAGCGAAAGGCTGATACTCATACTTTAAGAGGTGCTCCTTCTGCGTGGTATCCCAGATCCTCAGCTTCCCAGATACATCTGTGGACACAAGGGGGTAGCGAGAGCCATGTTTACCCCTGGGGCAGGGCCGTGTGGGCACAAGGCATGCCCGGACAGCACCGCCCAGGGTTCCCAGGCTTGCTGGCGTTGCCCGAGGCTGCTGCTGGGAGGAGGGACGTGTCTGAGGTAAGCAAAACCCGCCACCAGTCAACCAGAGCCCGTGGCCTCTGTGAGGGCCACTACCGGGTCTCTGGGGGGTGCCAGCAGTCACCTGGATGACGCACCCTGGGTGTGGATCAGAACGCCCAGAGACACGCGGAGGCACACTTCCGAGGCATCAGGAAGCGGTCTGGTTCTGGGCCTGTGGTTTCCTCGTAGGGGGATCCAAGCGGCGCATGGGTCTCAGGCAGCTTTCTTAACGCTTGGGACCAAAGTTCTTCATTTTCAGAGTGTGACAGCACTAGTGACAGCCACCTCTCCCGTGCAGTGGCCGTGCTCACACAGACAAGGAGCGCAGCTGTGTGCAGCTAATGCATGCCGTGACGCGCACGGTGGCCCCCACCGGGGCTCCCCTCCACTCCACCCGTGCCGCCCTCTGGCATCTAAGGCACACCCCACAGCCCAGACGACTTGGGTGCTGCAGGATCCCCGTGTGAGGCCCACGAGGGTCCTGGAAGGGGAAGCGGCACATCCTTCCCTTCCCCGCCAGGGTCCTGTCACCAAGTTAGTCATCGCTTCACAGCGAACTAAGGCTCCGCAGGAGGCTGCCGGAGAGCCTGATCCATGAGCAAACCCCGGGGGGCCCACAGTCCTGTGCGGCAGACAGGGAGAAGCTGACTTCCACATGGAGAGCACCACGTGGGGGTCCTGGGGACCTGGTGCTCTCTGGGCGAGGTCTGGGAAGGCTGCCTGGCCGAGGTGAGCTGCAAAGGGGACCTGCAGCCGGGGGCGTCCCTAACAAGGCAGCCAGCAGGAAAGGAAAGGAAAAAGCAGAGGCTCTGTGTGCACGACGGACACTCACGCTCACACGTGCGCACACACTCATGCACACACCAGGCTGTGGTCGGCTGTGCCCAGGCCGGTCCGGGGGGCTCTACGGAGTCACGTAGAATCGGCATCTACACTTGAGTGTAGCAGAGGCTGACAGTGTCCCAGCCGCTCGACCAGGACGGACCCAGCCTTCCCGCCTCCCTGGGCTCTGCTTCCTGGGCGGCTCAGGCTCCTTCCCAGGCCCGGCAGCAGCTGCTTGCCCCACGCCTCCCTCACCAGACCGCCAGCCGCCTCCCACGGGCCCTGCTCGTCCGGTATAACTGACGACGTGACGTTACTTTCAGGGGTACAACTCAGGGATGTGACAAGTTTGCACATTACGCCGTGCTCGCAAGTAGCTACCTTCTGTCCCCACACGTCGTTGTCGCAGCGTCACCGACTGTATTCCCCGAGCTGTGCCTTTCGTCCCCGTGACTCACTTGCTCCACACCTGGAAGCCCGTATGACCGACCCTCTCCCCTCCACCCATTTTCCCACCCGCACCCCCTCCCCTCTATCCACCACCAGCATGTTCTCCGTATTTACGGGTCTGATTCTGCTTTTTGTTAATTCATCCTTTTTTTAAGATTCCACTCCTAAGAGGAATCACATGGTATTTCTCCTTCTCAGTCTGCTTTGCTTAGCAGGATACCTTCTAGGTCCTCCCCATGGTATCTCAAGTGGCGCGGTCTCATCCTTTTTATGACTGCGTCATGTTCCGCTGTGTGTGTGTGTGTATATATACATATGCGCATATATATATATATGTACGTGTATACGTATATGTGTACATACACATACATATACACGCCACGTTGTCTGTATCCGTTCATCTACTGAGAGACCCTTAGCTTGCTTCCATACATTTAATCCTTTCTGGAAGCAGCTGGGACTAGAAAAGAAGACAGTGGGACTTGAAGGCCAAGTGCTCAGGCCCAAATGGGGCAGGCAGCACCCTGTGCAGTCACGAGATACTGATCAAGGGCCCACGAGCCCCAAGCCCATGCTAAGTGCTGAGGGCACAGCAAAGACACCTCCCCTGGGATAGAGGACACCTGCAGGAGGCCACAGACGACGGGGAAAGAGTGCCTGCTGTCTGCCACTTGGAAGGCGTCTCCCCCTCCAGGCAGTAAGAGGGGGGCACTGAGGGGGGCAGTCTGAGTGAGCCTGCCCCCTCTCTCCAGCAGCTTAGTAACATGGTGGGGGGGGGGGGGCGGTGACAGGGAGCAGGGAGTGTGAGGGCCCTTCCGTGCCTTTCATCAAGGCCTCTCCTCTATGTTCCTCACTTGAGCAACTCTCCTCTCCTCTCCTGTAGGCATGGGGCCCTCTCCCGGATGCCCGCCACTCTGCAGCCTGGGATTCATAGCCCGGGGGTGCCCCAGGGACTGAGCGTGGGGCACAGACCGCCAGCATCAAAATTACACAAGGAAGACACTGCTGGAGGGGACTGGGACTGCCCTGGAAATGGCTCTGCACTGAGAACATGGGACCGTGGGCTACATCAACCCCGGGGCAGAGGCTGACCGTGTTTTTTGGGGCTGGGGGTCCAGCCCCTGCCACGGGCTCCTTACTCAGGCCTTCCGGAAGGCTTGATCATTGAGCAGACACAGACCATTCAGACTTACAGGAATCTAAAGGTCCCGCAGAAAGCTAGAACCCCATCTGGGAGTGAGCTGCAGGCCTCCCGGGGTACTAGGCCCCTCCCCTGAAGAACCTGGGCACCCTAGGTTCCAGGTAACCCAGTTAACCAGAGCACGCACTTTCCCAGCCTCCCTCCTGCACACTCCAAACCCTACTACACGACCACACTATTTTTAGCCCAGGACCTAATCTCTGCAGTGGAGGCTTCCTTGTGTGCACTCGATTAAAGGGAGCAGCAGGCTAGAAACGAAAACGTGATCTCCACCCAGAACACCTGATCTGCACACAGCCCAAACCTCCCTCAGTTCCTCTGCCAAGTCAGGGCACTTTTCCGAGAAAGTCAAGATCAAACCGATCCTTTACTTCTGTGGACTGTCCTTTGCCACGGTCTCTGGGCCAGCCTCCCTCACCAATTCAGCGCTGGGGTCTGAAGCGCCCAGATTTCCGGCCGGTGCAGCACCCCGCCCGGGGCTCCCAAGTGATTCAGCGGCTGGACCTGTGGCTCCCGGCACCAGGGCCACATCCTGGGGCTTTCAAGGAAAAGGTATTTTGCTGGCAAGCAGGAACAGGGGGCGGAACTGCAGGGCGAAAATAAATCAAGGAATATAAATCAAAGGTTTACAAGGGGTGCCTGGATGGCTCAGGTCACGGTCTCTCGGTCCATGAGTTTGAGCCCCGTGTCGGGCTCTGTGCTGACAGCTCAGAGCCTGGAGCCTGCTTCAGATTCTGTGTCTCCCTCTCTCTCTGCCCCTCCCCCACTCACGCTCTGTCTCTCGTTCTCCCAAAAATAGATAAACGTTTAAAAAAAAATAAGAAAAAATAAAAACAAATAAATGAAAGGTTTACGGATAGCCTTGGAGTAGATCTAAACACAAGCGTCATTAAGTGCCCACTATGGGATAGACTCCTGGCGGAGCCCTTCACACACATCCCTGACCGCCGGCATTTGTCATCAGCCAGCACACCTGTTGCCCTGACATGTCCTACTTTTAGTGGCAGACACTTGGGTCACCTGCTGTCAGGTGGCCACCAGTGCAAGACCATCGTAGGCCTCTCACACCCATTGCTACTCTGGATCCTCTGTCCAGTTTCTGGGAGAGAACTTCAAGGCCCAGGAAGGTAAGTTACTCAAGGAAGCCTGCGCAGTCAGTAAGGGGCACACCCTCCAGGGACAGGGAGCGACCCAGTGCAGACCAAACGGTTCCCGGAGTGTATGAACTCCAGCCTCCTCTCCTGGCTGGTTAGTTCTTCCAGCCATTCCTTCATCTGTTGTTCTCTGGGGAGGCTGACAAGGCCCAGGCCCGCATCAGCTCACTCGCCTGGCTCTCCCTGGGGCTAGAGACAGGGCTGGGCACAGGCAAGGCAGCCATAAGCATCTTGTAGAGCATAGGAACGAATGAGTGAGTGAATGAATGCGAGACACGGGTAAGCCACGCTGACTTCTGTGCCTCCCTTTCTCATCAAAGATCTACCCCAAAGACCCGGGGTAAACAAAGCATCCTACGTGGCAAAGATCTTTCTGTCCCTCCGCTTAGCCAGCCTCCCACAGAGCCACACAAAAGCCTGGCTAGAGAGAGCAAAGGCACAGACCAGAGCGCTTGCCTGAGGCCAGCATTGAGAGGGACTGGGAAAGGAGCAGCTCATGAATAAAGGTGACACGAGACAAAGCTGCAATTCAGAAAGCACACACACACACAAAATGAGCTCCAAAACATCATGATACAGCTGCCCACAAAGGCCTCTGGCCAGCCTCAAGTGAGCATTTCTGCTGACCTCGGAGCCGGAACCAGCTGGAACACTGCCAACTACAAAGTCCTGCCATGGGGCTTTTTGGAGGCTTCTACATCCCTTGTCAGCCCCAAGTGGAACTAATCACACTGGTTCCACCTGCTGTCCCCCATTCCCGCCCCCCCCCCATCTCCCACCACCCTACCCTCCCAAGCCCGAAGCCCAGTTTGGCCTGGGGGGCCTCCTGGACCCCACCACATGCATCCGTGAGCCACCCGCGCACACAGGTACCTCCAGAGGCGATGTAGAACCCGCTGGGCGCGTACTTGGCCACCACCACCTGATGGGCATGCTCCGTGTAGATGTCGGCAACGGCTGGGTTCTGCAAGGAGGAGACAGAAGGAACACAAGGAATGCTTCCCACTCTCCCGGCTAGTGGATGTTGGGGCGTGGGGACTGGGATAACACACACGCGAGCACCCAAGTCAAAACCTCCATAAAGAGAAATCTCAGCAGCACCTCTACCTGCCCGCACATCTTCGGGCGACAGAAATCCAGGTAGTTTCGTCTCTTTCTCTTTAGCCTACAGCTGTAGAACTTGAGAGGATGGTCTGTCTTTTGCTTTTCCGCACTTGCCATAGTACCAGTACGTACTTGTGAAACACACACACGAGACAGAAGTTGCACTGAAAGTCGCCTGTCCTACTTCCCTTGGCGGGAGGCTGCCGTCGGCAGCTGCGTTCTTGAGGCACCTGTGGTCCCCCTGTCCACAAGCATCTCTACCCCGGCTGCCACCGGACGGCCTGTCACGGGGCCCTGCTTCGAGCTCCAGGAGCACAGTGGGGCGTGCGGCTGGGAGCCTCTCTTTGTTACAACCTTCGCCGGGAAACGTGGGCTTCCCGCTCGCTTCGCAGCACAGATGGAGGGTTGGCTGGACTGGCACCAAGAACGGGGCCGGCATCTGGGAGCAGGAGTACCTCTACTACTCAGCAACAAGGTTTTAACGTAGAATTTACTAAAAGTAGAGCACGGCGTCCCCCACTCGCACACACAGCCGAGAGGCCTCAGTGAACCCGACACACGCATACCGAGATGCTCTCAATTCGTCTCGGCAGCCGGGCTTTCTTTCAGGGGGGAATAAAGACGCGGTCATCTACTCCTGATTCCCGCTGTCCACCTTCTCTAAACCGAGGGCTCTTGAAAGAGGCAGCTTCCCACAGGCTGGAGACTGAGGCCATGGCAGGTCCCAGTGTGGGATGCCCAGCGTTCCAGAGGCGGCTGCTGCAGGTACACCTAACCTGATCCCCAACCGCCCCCACCTCTCCCCGACCTGACCACAAGATCAGAGGCCGGCACTCTTCTCCGCCCTCTGGCTATGGGATCCCCATCCCTCAAGACTGAGTCCAGACGGGTACACCCTGAATTCTAGCCCCGCCCACCGCCAGCCGCCTTCTGGCTTTCCTCTTAGTCCCGTGTCTCTGCAAACATTGTTCCCCTGGCCAGGAGCAGCCCTCCTGCCTGCTGACACCTACTTATGAGGCCTAACCAAAGACCTGTCTCCTGCATGAAACCTCCCGGGACGGCCTCCTCTCTCTTCGGTGCCTCCAACGCTTGCGCTGCGCCGCTCTGCTTTTCCAAAAGACGTACATTAAGTACCTGTTTCCACTGACTGAAAGAAATCTGAACAGCACTTTTCACTTTCATGACGAAAGGTAAAAGGCCAAGATAGCATTCGGCATCGGTGCCACAGCGAGATGAGCCGGTATGGGGCGGTTGTGCCCCCCCCCCCCCCCCCCCCCCCCGCCCGGAGCAGCGAGCGGCGCCCCCCAGCTCCTTCCCTGGGAACCACACTCATCACCTCAGCGTCAAGCTGCCAGAGCTCCGAGCTGTGTCTGAGAGCATCTGTGCTTTACCTCAATTTATTTCGTGCATCTGTTAGCAAGATGTGTCCTAAGGTCTCAGAAAAGCCTGAGAAAGGTGATTTGGGGGTGGGCCTAGGACCACTCAGAAATTTTTTCATTATAAAGTAACGATAACTATTTCTTTGCTTTAGGCCATTTCGGCTCACAAAACGTTTCCTAGAACACTGTGTTTTTGGACAGCGGGGAGAGCTGTAGTCCTGAACCTTCTTGGCATCTCATCTGTTTTTCTGCAACCTGCTTCCAGGGCATTTATCTTTTCAGCCATGACGGCAGTTAACGAGTAGCAGGTGCTCAATAAACAGTTTTTTGGAGAAAGAAAAGTGGAGTAAAAGGAATCCCTTTTCCCCCCGAGACTTAACGCTTAGCATTAAGTGACGCAGCAGGCAGTTGATACACATTCTTCGCAGATTAATCCATCTGAGAATAATCATGTGCTAGTGAAATTAGAAAGGTACGATGTATTCAAATGGGATGTCATGAATGGCAAACAGGCACAGGAAAAGGTGCTCGATGTCATCAGCCTTTTGGGAAAAGCAAATCAAAACTACAATAAGATACCGCTACAAGCCCGCTGGAATCAGCAAGACCAAAAGAACGGTATCACCAAATGCTGGCAAGGACAGGGGTGCGGGGCGCTGGGACGTTCACGTGTTGCTGGCAGGAACGCAAGACGACGCGGATGGAAAACAGTCTGGCTAGTTCTGCACGAAGTTAGGCAGACGCTTCCCACACAAAACCCTGCAATCCCACTCCTAGGTACGTACCCAAGAAATAAAAGCCCACGTCCACAAAAAGACACATGCGTGAGGGTTCATAGCTGCTTTATGCGTTAATAGCCCCAAACTGGGAACAACCCAAAGGTCCACCAACAGGCGAATGAAGAAACACCGCGCTGGATCCATACAGTGGATACAGCCCTGCGATAAGGGGGAACAAACGACCGACTACCAACTCAGCAACCACACTCAGCAACTCCAGTGAACCTTACAGGCATTATGCTAAGTGATAAGGACACAAAAGACCACCCAGGGTTGCGTGGCTCCTTCTCCAGGTTGTTCCAGAGAAGGCAAACTTAAAGGGACAGAAAGCAGATTGGTCCTTGCTGGGTGCTGGGGTGAAGGGAGCCCACTGGCCGCAACGGGTTAGGGGAGCGCTTCTGGAAATGACGGGAGGTTCTGTGTCCAGATTACAGTGGTGGTTACAGGCCGTGCACATTTGCCAAGCTGTGCAGCAGAGGAATCTTCCTGATCTTCCTATATCTAAATTATGCCTCAATAAAATTAAGATGTCTGGTATCCAACCCACTCCTGGCCCAAATTAGTGCTTCATGTTCTATAACCCAACCATGGGACGCCTGGGTGGTTCAGTCGGTTAAGCGTCCGACTTTGGCTCAGGCCATGATCTCACGGTTCGTGAGTCTGAGCCCCACGTCGGGCTCTGTGCTGACAGCTCAGAGCCTGGAGCCTGCTTTGGACTCTGTGTCTCCCCCTCTCTCTGCCCCTCCCATGCTCATGCCTGTCTGACTCTTGATAATAAATAAACGTTAAAAAGAAAATTTCAAAACCTGACTATGGACAAGACCCCTTGCCCAGAAACTGGCCAAAAGAGGTGCTCAGACAGGCCACCACTACCAAGATCCTTCTCCAGATGTCTGTTTCAAGGCTGACTGAGGGGCACCACCAGCCCACTTTACAGATGAGAAACCCATCCCAAGGACAACTTGCCAATATGTTGGCACTCAGGTCCACTGGGGGTTCCGAGGACCCAGGGCAGGGATACCAGATGAGTAGGTAGAGGTTCTGGACAGAAGTTCTGCCCCTAAATGGTCAGGGTTGCCAGTTGCAGGGGCTGTGAAACGCCCGAGGTCATCCCCAGCAGGCTCGGCACCAGAATCCCAGGATGCATGAGACATGGCTCTTGTCTGCCTTGCAAATGCAACTGAGCCAGCGAGCGAGGGGCCAGATTCTCCAACTGAACACGATGATTTCAGCTGAGTGTGTGCCAACCTCCCCAGCTCTGCTCGGCACACACAGGGAGGCTGGCTACTAGAGGCAGAAATAATGGGTCCCCTGTCCCCACTGTGCCCTGCCAGCTCAGGCTCATTCCAGATCAGCGGAATCTGGAGTCTGTAAGGCCCCAGGACTGGGACCCAACACCCACTCCCCTGCCTCAGAGGGGGTGGCAGATCCCCCTCACTCGTCCCTCTCCTGCTGCCTCGGTGAAGAATACACTTGGGTGCGTAGTTTATTTGGAGCAGGGCTAGGGAAGAGAGGAAATGAGGCACGAAGGGAAAGAAGCCAATTCTGGGTGCACCAAGGAATAACCCTGTGGCGGCAGGAGCTCCGCCTCCCTCGGGGCCTTGGGAGATGCTTCGGGCCAAGCCTTGGGGTCATCCCCCAAAGGGTGCTGAGGCTGGGACGCCCCTCCCCCAGGCCTTCCTGCACTTCTACTGGCAGTGCGGGTGCTTGCCACCAGGATACAGGAGACCTGAGACACAGACCAGGGCGAGACCCAGGTGCCGAGGGGATGTGGGCTGGCTGGCTGATGGCTGGCTGGCCGCAACTTTCCATCTACTCGCCCCCGACCCCAGGCCTGCTCCTGGCCCTCCACAACCCCGCCAGTCTTCTTCAACAGTTCCCAAACCCACCTCCTCTTTCTGCCCCTGCCAGATTCCGTCCAGGTCCCTCCTGGGGACCACGACAGTACCTTTTGGACTGCTCTCTACCTTCCGTGGACCGCTACACCCCTCATCCCCCGTCTCTAAGTCCCATGTCTCATCACCTGGTTCCCCTGCTTGATATCCTTCCCTCGGGAGCGGCAGAACCCTACCCCACTAACTTCACTCTTTCCGGACCCCCCAGCACACACAGGACCCCCCACTCCAGCCCCACTCAGGCCCTCCCGGGCTGAAGAGCTGCTCCCTGGGCCTTACCTGGCCAGGGCCCCTTCCCTCCCCAGGCCCACGTGGGGACTAGAACAGGAGCCACCCACCCCCAGCTCAGGGTCTGGCAGTGGGCACTCAGCAACATCACTGAGTGACACACAGAGCTCGGGGCTGGTGAGACCCCGGGGTCAGTCCCAGAATGCAGCCCCCGCGCCTGGGAGGTCAGGGAGCCTCACAGAAGACACGGGCCATGGCAGGCCATCATGCACCTGCAGACCCAAAGGCCTGCGGGGGAAGCAAGGTGAGGGTGTTTGGGCTGCTGACAGAGTGCCAGATTGGGGCCCAGCGGGGCCAGATGAAAGCAGACCTCTCAACCAAACCTCAGGAGGCCCATTCTCCGTGCGGACCAGACACCCCCTGGCCTCCCACCTGCACCAAGACCCCTCCCCAGGGCCAGACCTTCTGCCAGGAGACTAACCCTCATACCTTCCCAGGCCCCGCCCCATCCGGGAGATTCGCTACACCAACGAAAGGCTGGGGGGGGGGGTTCCCAAAAGTCACTTTGTTTGGGCAGCATATGGACCACCGGCTTCCCCAAAGCTCCTTCACGTCCCCATGTCTGCTCAGGCTCTATCTAGTGCCAAGGAGGGGTCAGAGGCCATCACACCATGTATAGTGGGGTTGGTGACTGGCCCAGGTCACAGGGAGTAGCAGCTTTCACCTCAGCTCCTGAGCCACAGTGAGTGCAGCGGACGCATCAGGAGGTTGGAAAGGCCTCCCCGGCCCACCAGGGCTGAAGCTGTCGGACAGGGCTCTGCGAGAGGGGCCTCCAG